GGCTGGGTCGAGTGCTCAGCAGGCAGCAGAGCTTGAGGGCATGCAGTCACAGAGTCGCTTAGGTTGGAAAAGGCCTTTAAGATCAAGTCCAACCGTTAACCCTGCCATCCCACCACTAAACCCTGTCCCTAAGCACCTCGTCTGCCTGGCTTTAAATACCTCCAGGGATGGGGACTCGACCCCTTCCCTGGGCAGCCCCTTCCAGTGCCTGACAACCCTTTCCGTGAAGAAATTTTTCCTAATGTCCAACCTAAACCTGCCCTGGCGCAACTTGAGGCCATTTCCCCTCATCCTATCGTTTGTTACCAGGGAGAAGAGGCCGACCCCCACCATTGCTGCAGCCTCCCTTCAGGCAGTTGTAGGGAGCGATGAGGGCTCCCCTCAGCCTCCTCCAGGCTGAACACCCCCAGGTCCCTCAGCTGCTCCCCAGCAGCCTGGGGCTCCAGACCCCTCACCAGCTTCGTTGCCCTTCTCTGGACATGTTCCAGCAGGAGATAAGATGAGGGTATTTCATACAAATTACTCCTGCCCCGTAACTCCTGATCAAGGCTAACTCTCACAATGGGAAGCTTTGAATACACATGGCACCCTGATGGATTTACATACGTGATGGCGACACCTCGCCCTGCTCGTGTTTTGCCATGTGTGCGCTTTTCACATTCAAACATTTGCTTGCAATGAGGTACTTTGCAGGGAGCATCTGCTTAAAAAGAACCATAGGGTCTTTTGATGGTAATGCTCCTGAAAATTATACCATTAAAGCCTGCTAAAACTTAGGTTAAAATGAAACGAGAGTCCCTACAACTAACTAAAGAGATTTAATTAATGTAGAGCTAGAAATTTGGTTTTCTGTTCCAGAGCTGATTTTCCAGCTTAGAGGTTTGCAAGCATTGCTGCACAGTGAAGACTATACTCTGTTTTATGGAAATTGAGTACTCCGGAATTTGGGGCAGGGGGGGAACTGGGCTAAATTTGAGGTGTTTTTTATCTCAGACTGCAAAATTCTGAGCCTCAGCGGGACTGATCAGTTCCACTTGTCCCAAAGACTGTCTCAAAGTGTGGAATATGTCTACTAACTTTATATACAAATACTATTTTGTGTTACTAAGGTTCTCTTACTAGAAAAGTGAAAGAGAAATCTGTTAACAGAAATGCATGAAGATAATGGAAAAAGACCTAAAATAACCTGAACTTGACAATGTCTCAAACCTACTTCTGTCCTATAAACAAATTTAACTCTGTAACTCAACTTGCTTTGCTGAGGTTATTTCTACTTAACATAGATGTAAATGAAAGATCAAAGGCCTCATTATGCACAACCCCATATTTTTCTGGCCTCGCTCCCATTTTTGTCAAGAGAAAATATTTCAGCTGTCCTTAGTGCCTTAAGGATAAGTAGTTTCCATGGTAATTAAGGTTTGGGGGATTTAGTTGAGAATATGTTAACCAAGGATTTTCTGTAACTTTATCTCACCAGCTGATTCAAATATCAGGGATTGCAAGGGTATCTCTCAAAGTCATTTGGAGAGATTTTCATCGCTGCTGTTAGCAGAGCTAATAGGGAATTCTGAGCTGTTTGTAGCTTCACTTTGCAATTGTGTTTCTGTTGGGATCCTTGCAACTGATGTGCAGCATAATTGTGTGAGGCTCACTGAGTGCTTACGTGTGGAAAAAACACATTATCTTGCGCCCTCCCAGCAAGAGTGGGGAGAACCTCTTGATATTATTCAAAGGCTTTTCTTCCAAGGACGCACAGGAGCAAAATCATGATACACAATAATACAAGAACTTCCTAGGGCAGGGGAGAGGCAATAAAAAGGCACCAGAAACACATTGTGGAATGGGTAAAAATAAGATCACTAACAAGGTACAATTACCACTTCAATAGAAGGCCTAACTAATAAATGCATGCATAGTATTAGTTTAATTTCTTCACAGAGAAGGTCCCAGGGTCTTCTGCTGATTTTAGCTGTGAACTCTGTTCTGTGTAAATAACATTTTAACCAGGATACACTTTTTTTTACAACTGATGTAGCATTGCCAGGAAACCTTCTTTTGGAAGAAGCTGCTTGGTAAAAACCAACCAACCAAACAAAACAAAACCCAACCACCAAAAAACATAAATGGAAAGAACCAGTAGCTTTGATTTGTATAGACCAACAAGTAAGTTCTCCAGTGGAGGGTGATGAATAAAGACATTTATTCCCTGTCAGCACTAAGGAATTTTGGAAGAAACCTTTCTGGAAATTACCACCGACCCACCTGCAGTAGCAGAAGCATCATTTCGAGTTGTATTGATAGAGCACTGGGGGTTTTTGCTGTTCTCTCATTTTAAACTATTGAAAAATATCTTGGGATTAAGTAGGGAGGACAAAAATTCAGCTGGAGAAAGGAAATTAAGTTAGAAACTATTTATGGAAGGAGATGAGAAAAGAGGATAAGCTGCCTCTGGATTCAAGAATGTATTAGAAAGAGAACTCTTGTGGTTTGGTGTTTTTTTTTTTTAAAAAAAAAAGCAATAAACAACATTTTGCTGTTTTCCTGGGGTTTTTTTCTTAATTTTATTACCTGCAGGTAGACAGGACACACTACTTGTCTTCAAGATTCATTATCCTGAACAAAATGCTTGAGAAAATGCAGCACTCCAAGCCAAACAAACCATTGTCTGTGTTGGAAGAGAGACACGGCCTGCAGGCTTCTTTCTTTCTTCCTACAGAATACCATTTTTCAGTATTGAAAAAGCAAACAAAAAGCTGTTGTATATGTTTTTAAAATGAATTCATTTTGACTGTAGTTACATTGCCCTGTTAATATGGCAAAGCAATTCCCCTCGGAATCAGTGAGCCAGAATTCTTTGTGGTTGTTGTTAAAACATAACCACCAATTGCTCATAGTAATTTGGAGATCACAAGACTCTTGAGCACAGTTTCTGTAAAGTAATGTCTCAGTTCTAGGGATCCTTGCTGTGTTAGTAGAGTAGAGGACAAGGGAGAAGTGACTGATTTTCCTCTAGGACAACCCCCACCCCATGTTATCCAGTTGGAAACAGTTATTGTCATGGGTCTAAAACTGGTGAGGAGAGGGGAAATACAAGGAACACGAGGTCACAACAAAACACGAGTAAGAAGTGAGGTGGCCAAGGGTTCCCTCAAGGGCTAGCTTGGTTGAGGTCCATGTTTATGGCCCTCAAAACCTTCTGCAGGATCCCTAGGCCTCTGAACTTTCTGTTGGGGGTGAACAGATCTAAACTGTAGAAGTTAGTGCTGTGTACAGGTAGTCAAGTTAAGTCAAAGAGGCTTGTACATTTAAACAGCATGAGGCAACGCGGAGTGGAAATATGAGTTCACAGAATCACAGAATGGCAGGGGTTGGAAGGGACCTCAGGAGATCACCCAGTCCAACCCCCCTGC